TCGCCCCCCATGTGCACGGGGCAGACGGAGATCAAGGAGACTTTCAAGTACATCAACACGGTCGTGTCCTGCCTGGTCTTCGTCCTGGGCATCATCGGCAACTCCACGCTGCTGCGGATCATCTACAAGAACAAGTGCATGAGGAACGGCCCCAACATTCTCATCGCCAGCTTGGCCTTGGGCGACCTGCTCCACATCATCATCGACATCCCCATCAATGTCTACAAGGTGAGGAGGGCTCGGAGATGGATTCGGGAGCGGGCGCGGGGTGCGGCGGTCGCCGCTCGGTGCTCCTTGGCGGTGCCCGTCCCCGCCGCGGGGAGACGCGTCCCGTCCTGGCTGGGACACACCCGTGGGCTTCACCTCGCGACAAAACCCGGCCGGAGGGTGGTATTCTGGTCAGATGTGGTGCCTCCGCAGGTGGCACCCTCTCTGTGCCCGAGTTCCATCCCTCTCAGCGTCCAGGCTGGGAATGGGGCAGAGTGGAGGTGGCCAAGCTCTGAAAATCACCTGGAAACAGGTGCGGTCGTAGGGATAAATGAATGCAATGGATAAATGTTCAGTGGGCTGTTCGAGGAATGGAGGGGAGACACAGAAGACGCTCTCCTGTGGGTACCACTTGGTCCTTTGACTTTACGTGGGTCTGTACAGTCCCTTTCGGCGTGGGGGCTTTTCTAGGAAGAGCCAAGATCGTTCAGCCAAGCGGTTTTATGCATCTCTTGGTTGGGAGGCAGGATGCTTTCCTGAGCTGAGAACCCTTTCACCCCTTGCCAGTGTTGCAGCATGGGCAGCCGAGAGGGAATGAGCCACACCTGCTCCTCTTGCACCTTCAGTAGTCTGTGCTTTGACTTGATAAGACTTCCATGGAGGGGAGACAACCCCTGTCTTCTCTACCCAGTTTATGCAATCCTACGGGATTAGTTGGGCAGTTGAATCCAGCCTCTAGTTGTAATCTAGCACTCTTTGAAGGTATACTGGAAATAATAGAGCTCCTTCTGCTCTTAAAGTTTACAGTCTGGATCCCTGAGCACCCATCCCTGGCTTCATAAAGTGTACAGAATAGCATTCACCTATCACCTTCTCTTCACTTTGTATGCATGATTGTACACTGGGGGTTGTTACTTGTACTTCCAGAAAGCCACATTGAAGGGACGGATTTTGAATCCTTATAGTTATCCCAGAAGCTGCTGAGAGGAGAGAATCTTCTCTCTTTATACTTTTAAAGTATTTAAGTATTACAAAGTAGGGAATGTCATCGTGTTAAATTCATGATCCAGTTAATTTGGATTACATGTTAGTTCTCAGATTTTAAGTTTCAGTAGTTTTTATACTATACACTCTCTTACTTCTTGTGAGAGGAGTGTGCTCTTTTGAATGAAGGTGGAATTTAGAAAACAAAATAACTGCTTTAAAAATGTGTTTTTTGCAAAAAAATATGCTGGACAAAATATGCTTTTTATCTCAGAAAAATCAAAAAGATTAAATCAATAACGGCTGTTCAGTATGAGACTTTGCAATGTCAGTGATAATTTCAAAATTAATGTTAATATGTAGAAATATACCTCAGTTCTTATTTTGATTGAACGTCACCAAGTGTGTCATCATGAGTAGGTTGGAGCAGGAGGAGTAAAGGGTCAGACTGCTAACCAATAAATATTATACCAGCTGCAATCTGGGATTTTTATTGTCCTATTGATAATGCTGGGAGCTGTGCCATAGCTCTCAGGTGCTAAATCTCCCTCACTACTACTCATCTTACTGGAGAGCCCATAATCTCTTTATATTATCCCTTATAATAATGAGTGAAATATTTGCTATTTTAAAACAGAATTTCTGAATAAATGCAAGTTAAAAAGCAATGAAAAAACACCTCTTAGATACTATGTTTATTTAATCAAACTTTTGAGGGCAGTTTGAATTGATAACTTTTTATCAACTCTACATCCCATTTCATTCCAGAGCAACAGGGAGAATACATACAGTAATGCAATAAAAAACTGGCTTTGATCACTCAGTAGTAAAGCAGAGAAGCAAAGGCTCCCTCAGTAAATCAAGTGTATTTAGCAATTGTAACTTGCAGTTTGAAACAATTTAAGACTGCATTAAACTGATCCGGATTCAGAATTTGCTGCCACATTGTCAGTAAGGCAGCTGCATGAAACAGTGTGAGAGAAGTTCTCATGTTAATAAAATGGAGCAGTTCTTTCCTCTACACTTGCCCTAGAAAGTGTGAAAGTGTCTGTGAATGCTCTCCAGACCAGACACCAGACATAGGAGACAATCCAAAAGCTGCACTAGAAGAAGTTTATATTGGGTATTAAAGTGGAAAACTGCAAAAGATGTCCCCTGTGACTACTTAAGTGAACACGTAAGTAACTGAAAAAGTGCACAAATGAAAATTGACATGTCCTAAACTGAGGGTATCTAAAGAAAAGCAGATTTTACCTGGATAGGGAGGCAAATGCACTCCAATGCAAAAGATTCTAATTAGTCCATTGCATTCCTAAATTTGAATATAATGCAATATGTTCAGTGGGAAATGGATAATATCAGAATCTGTCACACAGTCAGGAAACTGGCTATGAAATGAAGGCTTGAAGGTTGTTCAGTTCCAGCATGTAGAACCTGTCCGATCTTTTTGGCATTCTGGGTCCTGGTAAATGGTCTGGCTTTGCCTGGATCTTGAGCTGCAGAATGGGAAGCAAAGTCTGAGACAGTCATTCTGCAGTATGTAATGTTTTGGCAGTGTAGAAACTTTGCAAAACTGCTACTAATTGGATGTGCAGGTAATTCTATGCAGCTCCACTAAACAGAGTAAGTCCTTGTTAATTTGAGGCCACAAACAGCAATTAAGGAGCAGAGGGATAGACTAGGTGGTCAGTGAGATTTTTATGTTCTTGTCTGCGCTTGAACTTTGGAGGACAAGACAGTGGCAGCTTGTGCACCTGACAATGCCAGCCTGCAGTTCTGGACAGTTTATGCTGACTTTCCCAAGTAGATAAGGTTGTTAAGTCCCATGTCTAAGACACCAAAACATCAGGACTGGAAATTCCAAACTTACACTAGCTTTGTCTCTCATAGGCTTAAAATCACATACTAACATGCTTTCTCTTGTGATGCACAAACAACATCTCTTTTTCTTATTTTGTAATATTTACTCCTGTATATTAAATCAAATTTATTGTTATATCCCAGCGGAGTTTTAACAAGGGGGGCAGTTTAGGCTGTTCACATTATTGTGGGGTGTTCTGAACTCTTGACTACCAACAAATGTCTGAGGAAGAATGTCTACCTGGCAATACTGGCATAGGTTCCTTTTTCTCAGAGCTCAATGAAAAAGTGGAGAAAAAAAAATTAAGGGAAGGAAAAAAATGTTGTCTTCATCAAAGCCACTAATCAAGGGCCAGAGTCAGCTTTGTAGGCATTGATTTATTTTCATTAACTTTATTTAGGGATTACATAAAAATTATGGTTAACATAATATGGCATTATCAAGCACTGGAAATACAAGAAAGACCAGATTAGGGACTCTATATACCATTCAGACACAAATTGGCTCCTTTTTTAATCCAGCTTTTCTCTGGAAAAGGCTCTGAAGAAGATTTCTGTGGAAATGTATTTGTGGTGAACTTTTTAACTCTTGTAATGCAAGCACCTGTAGGCCATGCATTATGATAAAGCCAACCTTTTTCTGACTTTCTAATCAAGGTGCTTCTCTTTAGAAAGGATTCTCACTCTTCCATATTAGAACTCTTGGTCGCTGGTTCTTCTGATGTCAAAGATTATGACCACTTTATTGGAAGAAATGCATTATTTCCTTTCTTTTAAGGTCTGAACCACTTACTTAAAGTCTTGCAAAGCTCATCTCAGAATTTCTTACACAAAGTTCATTGATTTCTAACCGTATTAAGCTAGAAGTCTATTTTGGTTAAGAACCCTTTATGGTGAACAAGTGCAAGTTATAGGCACTTAAGAAAGATCTAAATTGTCCAGTGGAGGAACCTGTCTGGACTCTGCAGGCAGTGATAGGGAGAAGTAACTTTGTTCTTTATTTAGATGGGAGCAGTCCATTCTGAAGTCAAGTGTACGGAGTAGTGGAAATGTCTGAATGCTGTTAAAAGTACACATTCATAGTTTTCATGGTGGATCTCCAAACTGAAGTAAGTTAGATGATGCTAGTATAGATTTGTAAATTGAAAGTAGTTTTTTTCATTAGCTATACATTTGTTGTGTATACATTCACTTGTATAAAAGATGCATGTGACAAATTTCAAAGCAAGGTTTGACCTGTTTTGGCTTCATCTTCTACCCTGTATTATCCATCCCAACCTGACAGCAGCATGGCTTTCTGAGTGATTACTTTTGATGCAGTCTTTCCATGGAGCTGTGAAATTGCAGAAATTTTTTACTTCAACAGCACATTATGAGGTTTCTGTCATTTTCAAGATGACTCTATAAAATTGCTTTATCTTAAGTGCGTTTTTTATTAAGCTTCTAGGAGGAGTTATAATAAAGATATAAGAACATAACATTATTGCATGGCTCATATTAAGATTTTAAACAGTTTTTTGGATGGGTCAGTAAAGCATTCCAAGCTATGCTTGAAAGCAGTAAATATATTTTCTTGCCTGTAGGGGAGATCCTCACCCTGACATAATTATCACTAAATATTAATAAGTTTGTAATGTTGTCTTACTTATCTAATCATAACCTTAATTTCCTGGGAAAATTTTCTGTTTGAAAAATGGTTGTTCCTGTAAAATATCTGTGTGACCTGCCCATGCCAAAAAAAAAAAAAAATCAGGTGGAAATCTACCTGTCATTTCAGAGATACATTGAAAAACTATTGTGTGTGAATTAGATGTAGAGCTGCATGTCTGGTTTCTCTTGTGCCTGCTGTTTAGAATGATGAAAATCAAGTCCTGCGAACGAGGCTTGCTGTGAACGCATGGCTGGGCGGAAGTGCCAATTCCTGCTCTGCGTTTCCCGTGGGCATTCCCTGCTTGGGACTGGGACACTGGCGGGAATATTCGCACGCTCTGCTGCTCCTTCCTGCCCCACTGCAGCCCGTGAGCAGTGGCGGGTTGGAGCTAGGTATCAGCCTCCTGGCTGGGGACCACAGCAGCTGAGCCCCAGAGCAGCACGGAGTGAGAACATCTCTCAGCTCTTGCTCAACTAAGGGAAAGCAGAGTCGGAATGGTGATTTGCAGGTGTGTCTGTGAGTCACGGCATCTCTTGGGGCTTCTTCCATAGCTCTGCAGCTTGCACATCAGTTTAGGCTCAGATCTGTCTGGTCTGAGAAAGCCTTGGCTAGGCATGCATCAGATGTATTGATTGTTTTAAGTAGGATTTCACTTCATTCATTGCAATGTTTTCCTTTTCCTTTTGATCTATTTCATCTTAAACACATCTCTGCTGCTCAGCCATTAAAACTTTGCCTGTGTAAAATAAGTGACTGTAAATCATTGAAAAGGTCACTCGGAATACAGCCAGTGGTAGAGTACTCTTGGCATCTTACTTATGAAAGTACAACATTATTTTTCTCTTTGCTGCCACTTGGCAGTATCTCCTCTCGTGGCTCCAAGTCATTTGTCATTTGTAAAATGACAATCTTTTTACAGCTACCCTATTGTGATGCATAAGAGAATAATTTTGCTCATACAAAATTACAATAAGCTACATCTGTATTTACTAAGAGTTATCATTGTCCATAAAGGTGATGTTCCCAAATACTTTACATTGGATCTTCACTGTACTTCAAGGCCATATTTGAAGGGGCCATAGCAATACAGAGAACAGACAGAAGCATCAAGGAAACATACTTCAGCAAACAAAACTTTTTTTTTCTTTTACTTTATTAATGTTTTCTAGCTTTTGATGTAAAGCATGTATCATTAACCACTTGCAATACCATGATAGAGAAACTTGTGACTCATGCATTAAAATGCTCAAATTTCACAATACATCAGCTGCAAGACATAAAGCACATGTTTTTGCAATCCAATGCAGACAGCTGCATGTCCATTCTGCCCTGATATAAGCTGGCTGAATGAAAGTAATGTTTTTATGTTATGATAAACCACCAAAACTAATGCACCCTTTCTCTCAGTTGACTGCATTCAGTCATGTGCCACGCCTCTATAATCCCAAACTGGAGCTGGCTCAAATCCAGTCAGTTTGGAGCACAAGTGTGACTGTCTGCACCTGAGTGATAAGTATTAGTTCAGCAAAATCTACAACATGTGGCTGAACTGCTGTGATTTGAGGGAAGAGAGACAGGGAGTGTCTACACACCAGCTAGATGTAAATAAAAGTTTTTAACAGGTCCTGCCAATAGAGATTTGACCAAATTTCTGCACTTTACTAACAAATAAAAGAATATTTTACTTCAAAGTGCTTTTTTTAATGAGTTCTATCTAGTCTAGTATAAACTCATGTACAATGTACAGTAGGTGCCATAAATAAGTATACAATGTACTTGCTACCCAGTCCTTGATTTCTGTGGCAAATATATGTGAAGGGCTGGAATTTCACTGCCTGATATAAATCAGTCCAGGTGTCATTCAACTCTGTAGGGTGTAAATTTAGAATACATGTAATTATTCACATTACAGTTTTAATAGTAGATTGTTACTGTCACCCCCTTACAGAAATTCAGAAGTTGTTTCAGGGAGAGGCTTTACTGAAAATACTTTAATTACAGTCTATGCTATTTTCCCACATCACATAAGCAAAAGATACTGTGTAGTTATTACAACCTTATCCCTACTTCCTCTGCTTTATTACTTTCCATAAAATTCTTGAGAAACATTAATCCTTAGAATTTATTTCTCTGCTTAATTTCTGCAGAGACATTGTATTTATTGTCTTACTTAATTAGATCATTGAAGAAATAGAAAGCTGGGCCATGTTGCATTTTGTCTACTGCTGTTCTTTAAAAGATTCCATTACAGCACAGAGCTAAAGCAGGTATTTGGAGATGTTCTGGTATGTGGAAATACTGGTGGGCACTTCACAGAGGTTCCGAAAAGCCCATGGCCATAAAATGTTCCTAACTTCCTTTGTGTTCAAATAAAATTATATTTAAATTATATCAGGACTCCTTAGAAAACTCTCCTGTACCTTGTGTTTACCCTTAGAAGGACATGTCTGTTTGCATAAGGATTTTGCTGAACCAAACCAATCTGAGCAGGCAACCCTATGGCTACCTTCAATTATAGAATCATGGAATAGGAAAGATTTCTTAAGATCAGGTCTAACCATTGGCCTTGCCACCACTGTGTTCATCGCTAAACCATTGGTCATGTCCCCAAGAGCCACATGTACATTTTTTTTTGAACTCTTCCCTGAGAAGCCTGTTCCAATGCCTGACAGCCCTTTCAGTGAAATTTTTCCTGTTAGCCAATCTAAACCTTTCGTGGTGCAGCTTGAGGCCATTTCCTCTTGTCCTGTGTTTTCTTACTTGGAGAAGAGTCCAACCCCCACTTTATTACAGTCTCTTTTCAGGCAGTGGTAGACAACAACAAGATCTCTTCTCCAGACTAAATCTCAGCTCCCTCAGCTGCTCCTCATGCAACTTATTCTCCAGACCCTTCACCAGCTTTGTTGCCCTTCTCTGAACAGGCTTCAGCACCTCAACCTCAATGTCTTTCTGGTAGTGAGGGGCCCAGAACTGGACACAGCACATGAGGTGTGACCTCACCAGCGCCAAGTACCAGGATAGCCACTGTCCTGGTCCTTCTGATACAGGCCAGGATGCCATTGGCCTTCTTGGCCACCTGAGCACACTGATGGCTCATTTTCAGCCAGGTGTTTCTAGGGCTCCCAGATCCTTTTCTGACAGATCTTTTCAGCCACTTCTTCATCACTCTTCCAGCCTGCAGCACTGCATGGGGCTGTTGTGACCCAATTCTTGTTGAACCTCATACACTTGGCCTTGGCCCATCAATCCAGCCTGTCCAGAACCCTCCTTAGAGACCTTGTAGCCTTTGTGGTTCCCAGAAACATCCACGCAGTATGATGAGCTATTCTTCCGTTCTTACAACCCTCTTAAATGAGTTGTTTGAAGAGACCCTTGTTTGAAGCCAAGGGAAAGATTTTCCAGCCTCTTTTGGGTAGTCCTCATTCTTCCTTCTCCTTTTCCATTTTGTAGCCCTGTATCTGCAACAGATTCCAAAGACCTCATTTGAAGAAAGTTATGAAAAACAGAGATGGGCTTAGATAATCTAACTAATTACAGAAACTCCAAAAGTTTACTCTTCTATATAACAATTGCGTCTATTTCTTGGCACAACCCTTGTTGTGGAGAATGTTGTTTTAATGAAAACTGGAAGATTTGGCTGCCGCTCTGGTATATTTGACCATCAAAGAAGCTCACAGCAGAGTTCAAAGGCTAAATGTTGATAAACTGAGGCTACAGATGTTTGTCTGTTCATAGAATCAGCTGTGAGTAAGGTGCTTTCTGTGTCCAGTAAATCTTTTCCCCTAAATCAGATAAAATGTGCAGCTGGGAATGTGACAATATTTCCATTAAAGTCTACGATTCAAAGTGTAAGTGAACCATCCAAAAGTGCATTGTGCTGTTTTCTCTATTTTTTAGTACTTAAAAGTATGCTGAATGTGCAAGTAGTCCTTTTGGTATTATTATACAGAATGTTGTTGAACTGGTCAATAAAGACCATTAATGAGGGATTCATCTGACGTTTTTATCTGCTGCAAAACATTTAGATCAAACTATCTGTCTGTGCTTCTTGAGTGTCCTTTCATTAGTCATCAGATGGTCAGCTAAAAACTGGGGGAGGTATATTTCTCTCCAGTGTTGCCTGACTTCTCAGCTGATGGAGCCTAGACACTAAGCTTCAAATAAACCCCACCCCAGATATGCACCTATGGCTTTGTCCCTGTTCTGATCAGCCTCAAGCAATTTTCTGTATTTTTCTGCTCAAGAAATATGTTATTTGGAAGGTGTAAGAAAAGTAGTGAGTGCTCAAGGCAGATAAAGACAATTCAAACATGAGAAAGATCCTCACCTGCTCTGTAATTTTTTCCCATAAACACTGGGGTGATGAAAATGAAGCAAAAGGAGTGGAGTTTGCAGGGCTTATAGAGGCAGGACTAAGACTTAAGTGACACCCTTGTCCCACTAGGGTGTGACTACACTGCTACTGTCTAGTTTTTAGGGCACACCCCTCAGGGGCTCCCTTGTGAAAAGGTTCTTCTTGACTAAGTTTTGCGTAGAATCCTAAAATGGTTTAACTTGAACGTTAGAGGTTGTCTAGTTCCAACCTCCATGGCATGGAATGGGCAGGGAGACCTTTCAGTGGACCAGGTTGATTAATGCCCTGTCCAACCTAGCCTAGAACAATGCCAAAGGATGGATTTTCACAGTATCTCAGTTTAAAGCCAGTCCCTCTTTGTTCTATGACTAAATGCCCTTGTAAAAAGTCCCACTCCAGCTTTCTTTCAGGCTCCCTTTAGGTACTGAAAAGGTGTCCCCATCTTCTCCAGTCTGAACAAACCCCATTCAGCCTGTCTTCGTAAGTCAAGACCTGGTGGAAAACAGTCAAGATAGAATTCCATGTTTCAGCATTGGGAATGACCTTTTTAAAAAAATAATTGTTGTTTTCTTTTCACAGCTACTTGCAGAGGACTGGCCCTTCGGTGTTGAAATGTGCAAATTAGTGCCCTTCATTCAAAAGGCATCAGTGGGAATCACAGTGCTGAGTTTGTGTGCCCTCAGTATAGACAGGTGAGACCCATTTGGCATTGAAGTCTCTAATTTGTTTCCTATACAAGCATTGGCTCAAATTCACCTTTCCACTCAGATGATACAATGCAAATAAAATGAATTTAAGCCCGTTAAACTGGGTGAGTTTTCTCATATTTTGGATTTGTAAACGTGTGCTATCGCTTCAGGTACCGAGCAGTTGCTTCTTGGAGTCGCATTAAAGGAATTGGAGTGCCAAAGTGGACTGCTGTGGAAATTGTCCTCATCTGGGTCATATCAGTGATCCTGGCTGTTCCAGAAGCTATTGCATTTGACATGATTACCATGGAGTACAGAGGAAGGTATCTTAGAATCTGCTTGCTTCACCCCACGCAGAAAACATCCTTTATGATAGTAAGTCACTAACATTGATAAAAATCTCTGGGAGAGTTCCTTGGATCTTTGCAGTGTTGCGTGGATTGTAATGTGCACAGGTGTATGTGACATGAATATAATGTTCAAATGAAATATTGACAATTCTGAAGCATGCTGGTTCAAAGAAGAGCATTCAGAAATATTTGACTTTTTGTGGGCTTTGAACACACTGCTGTCTTGTCCTGTTTTCTCACCTGTAATGTACACCTTACAGAAATGCTTTTTCAGGCTGACCATTTAGTCACACTTGTGTGACTGGCTGTCAGGCTGACAATTTGTGACTAAATTGTCAGGCTGACAATTTAGCACACTTAGCAAAATTCTCCGTATTTAATTCCAAACCATGTTTATGCTTTGTTTTTTCTTTACAGTTTTACAAGCAAGCTAAAGATTGGTGGCTGTTCAGCTTTTACTTCTGTTTGCCACTGGCTATCACAGCATTTTTCTATACTCTCATGACTTGTGAGATGTTACGAAAGAAAAGTGGGATGCAGATTGCTTTAAATGACCACTTAAAACAGGTAAAAATGTATCCCTGGCCACTCTGTAACTGCTAACTAATAACTTTATTGATTTTCCTGCCACATCATTCTGTTCTTGTGTCACTTTAGGATTGGAAGCAAAGTGAACTTTCCTGGCAGTGGTGCTGCTGAACTCATATACATATGTATAAATCAGAGCCCTCAGGAACCTAAGATTTTAACTGAAAATCAAACAATTATTTCATTCTTGTTTGGTTCTAATGTTTCAGTTTTTATAGGTTTTATTTCTTCTTTGCTGTAATGAGAGTTGGCTATCTTGTGATGCAAACTGAAGTCTTACTCTGGCCTAGAAGGTGGTGCTATAAAACTGTTAATTATTTTGAAGAAAGTTCTTGCTGAACCCTAGTGAGGTTAGCAGTATATGTTAGCAGAACATATTCCAGCAGACTGAGGTACTAGTGCCCCAGACACAAACATCAGACATCACTAGAATTAAACTATGATTGTTCTATAATGTGTATTTGTGCTCCTTTCCTCTTACCTGGTTAGAGCTGTAATTAGAATCTCTTGGGGCATTTAAAATAAGATGTGAGATCAAAGCATAAGGAAATGCAACAGAAAACAAGCTGGTATTTGAAAGTGATCTGGGAGACAAATATGTTCTTAATTTTAATTTAAATTATTGCTTAAACTAGTGTTTTCATGACCCCTGTTTTTCATATTATTACTCATACTTCTTTAAATAAGAGATATATCGAATCAGTGCGAGACATCTAGAACAATAGAAAAGATCAAGCACATATTCCAAGAAAATAAGCTATTTGATGTTTTCCTAACTCCTATTGTGATAGGCTTTTTTATCTTGTTTGTTAAACTCTTGGATATTAGAAGACAACAACAATCCAGAGGAAGAGAGGGAACTGTAACACTGTTCTGTCCAATTTTCTTTCTCAGAGACGTGAGGTGGCCAAAACTGTGTTCTGTCTGGTACTTGTTTTTGCCTTGTGTTGGCTCCCACTTCACTTAAGCAGAATCTTGAAACTCACTATTTATGATCAGAAGGATCCCAACAGATGTGAACTTCTAAGGTGAGAATGCAAAAATAAAAATCTGTATGTTGTGGGAATTCTCCATAAGCGTGTTTGGATTTTCTATTGAACTAGCTTACTCTGTATAGTCAGTTGTTCCTGCTTCTTCATCCAGGACCCTCTGCTTTCACTCCAGTAGCAGAGAAACAAAATAGTGAGGAATTCCCTTGCTTTTCCCCACCTTCCTCTTGATCCTTTTTGGGACTGTTCTTCTGTCATGTGGCCCTATGAGAATAGGAAGGGGATTTCTGTGCCTGATTTCCCTTTCAACAGAGCAGCTAGGATTCAATTTGTGCAAAAAGACCTTGTGAACATCTTCCAAAAGTTAAGATGGTTGGATCTCCTAAAACTACTTTCACGAGAATGGTCTTCAGACCATTCAGACTCTATTTCTGAGTATAACTGTTACCTGCTTGAGTTAATCCTGTTGATTGAAGCCCCATTACTATTCCATTTAATAGCTAGTCTTGATTAGTGAAACCAAGTCTAATGTCTATAGTTGTAAACCTCTACTAAGCCTTTTCAAAGCAAATGAGAAATGTCTCACTTTAATTTCCACATAGCTTTTTTCTTGTGATGGACTATATTGGTATTAACATGGCTTCACTGAACTCCTGCATCAATCCAATAGCTCTGTATTTGGTGAGCAAAAGATTCCAAAACTGCTTTAAGGTAAGTGGCTGCTGGGAGTTGCTCCTCTGGTTAAAAGATGATGTCAGTAGTAAAATTCATTCCTTAACATGCACAAAGTGTTTTAAACAGTCCTTAAATTTTACTTTAAATTTTACTTGGGTTATGGTAAATGTTCTCTCCCTCTCCTGCTGAAGCTCTGTAGGAAGGAACTGAGGTTTGAAGGTAACGAAAAAGAGAAAGCAAAAGAGCAGAGTGTACAATGAACCCTCTGGGGACCATGCTAATCAGTGCTACATCACTTCCTGACTGAAGCTGGCACCCAGAACTTCCAGAGCCCTGACAAAGCAGCCTTGGTCTGTGCTGCAGAGGTTCACGTAGCCATATCCTCTGCATCCTGCCAGGGAGGGTGCTGACCCTGGGCTCCCTCATCCTGACTGAGCACCTCAATCAGTCATGTGAGGCACAGGGTGCAAATCTGTGCCTGTCCCTTTCCAGTGCCAACATTTTATGAGCCAGACCTGTATGTAGTCCTGGCTTGGTCTGAGAGAATAGAGCTGGACATGAAATTCTCCACACAGGCTCTGGATTCTTTGTGGCTGGCAGCCCATCAGTCCTTCAGCCTTTGTGTCTGCTTGGAAAATATGAAGAGTTGGGCTTTTTTTGTGATCCCTTACTATCTTTACACAGTATATTGAAGTCCTTACATTGCTTATGGCAATTTTTTAGATTTTTCTTTTCTTGCCAAGCATTTAACCACTGGCCACAGCTAGGGTTATTGCCTGGCTGTTTAAATCCCTTACTAGCAAGATGGAAGCATCTTTCAGTCAGTAGCCAGTCAGCTCTACTTCTAGTAGTGCTAATGTATTTCCCACATAATTGTGACAGCACAGGTTGCAGAGGTTTTAGTGTTGGTCTTGTCTTCCCTGTCTCTGCTGCTGGCTACTGAAAGAGTCACTGGAGCAGAAAGCATGTAAGAGATCTCCAGCATCCTGAGCATGGAAGTAATTGGGTGTGAGGAAGGCACTTCCAGCACCCAAAGGCCAGACAGGACCATGAGAAAAAGGACTGTAGTACATCTAGTAAATGTATGAATTATATGTAGGTTTTCACCCTTCTTCCAACTTCTCTTTTTTCCATCTCAGAACAATGAGCTAAATAGCAGCATCTTGCTTAGAAAGCATAGATAAGAATGCTTTTCTTTTCCCAAGAAAGATTATCAGAGAAAGGAAAACAAGAAGTCATAATTTTATTTTCAGATGCAGTTAGAATTGCAGAGCAGATTTGATGGGGTATGTGTGTGTTTGCCTGTTGCTGTATATAACTACTCAGTATAACTCTTCCTGTACTCCAGCAGTAAGGTTGTTAATGAGCAGTTCAGAGTTGAACCCCATTTCTGTGCTTTGTGCTCTAATGCCAGAGCAGCATCTTGCACATTTGCCATTTCCTACTCTACCCCTGAGAAAGGGCAGCTTTTCAGTGCATTTTGCCACGTGTGCAAAAACAGAGTGATGTAAAACATTTATTTCTTTTATTTTAACAGTCATGCTTATGTTGCTGGTGCCAATCCAAAGATCTGTTGTCCCTGGAGGAAAGGCAGTCCTGTTTAAAGTTCAAAGCTAATGATCATGGATATGATAATTTCCGCTCCAGTAACAAGTACAGCTCTTCATAAAACAAGCATAAAAGGTATATTCTCTTACATTAATGCTGGTGCCTTTTTAAGTAAAAGTGGCAATTGCTTTTGACAAGATGGCAACATCCAGAAAAGTCTAGTTTTGAATTTGCACAAAAAAAAGAACATTAAAACAATTGCCCTAAAACTGTGTGACATTGAAAATCATGGACGTTTATGAAATCATCATTTATGGAACATGAAGAGAAGCATAGAAAGAACAAGTCATTGTTAGCACTTGAATACTTCTGAATCAGCACTTCCAAATGATCTCCACTTCCTGTACATTAAGTTTGTATTCTCTGTAACACTTGTAGGAACTGAAGTCACAGTAATTATTAAGCAGCATAATATCAAGTTAATTGGATCAAAGCCATTATTATATATAACTCAATGTATTATCTTTTATAAAGCGAATTAACCACCATCACTATTGTGATTTTTTTAAATAAAACACTAAATACTTTGTAATAGAAGTCTAAATGTTGAAAAGTAGAATTTTTATGAGGTATATTATAGAGGTAGCTACTGAAAATATTAAAGGATGCAGTAAAGCCAAAAGTGCATTTTACTTTGATGATTGTTTTTACCTATTATTGTCAGAAGGAAACTCCCAAGGGCTCTATAAATTCCTTTCTGTAGCCACTGTGTGTCTTAGTGCATTTGCCAGCACTTTGGGTATGAGTATTTGTGTCTACTGATAGCAGAGAGGAGAAAAACACACCAGAAGCAAAAAATTAACACTAGTACAAACATACAGACAACAGGCATTATTTCAGCTGTTGTTTCATTTTTTGTTGGAAACAAATGGATGGTATCCTGTGTAAAAAGTGGGCATTCCAGAGCCTGATGGTTCTTTACTGGAGATACTTTTGTGACAATTTAAAACTGCTTTTGCAATCCAAATACTGTCTTGGGGCAATTTTTTTTTAGAAATAGTGTGTGGAAAAAAAAATTATAACCAAGGTAAAAAGAGAGAATTTGAACTTCTATCTCCATTTAGATTTAAATCTTCATAAGGAAAATAATTAATGAACTGTACTTTTAGAGAAGAGTACTATGTAGCATACTTGTGTTCATACTGTTTTAAAATATATTCTACATCTGTAGTTCCATATTTATGGGCCTAAGAAGATGTGTGATTAGTTTCTGCTTCTGTAAATAGTAGTGAAATGTAATTAATTGTAAAGTATTAAGATGTGGGCAGGACCCTGCAAGAACAGAAAAAGATAAAGATGCCTGTAGTAAACATGATGTGTGTTGCCAGGAGCAATGCATATTTTGGATGTACATGACAGGTCATTCTTTGACTTTGCATTTCCTGTTAATTTGTTGCAGATGTCCCCAAAGACTTATTAACATATTTCATGCACTAAGGCATGAGTTTATCAAGAAAAACTGTCATATAACATGCTTTTATAAAAGACATGTTTTCAATAGGCTTGGTATTTTATTATAATAAAATTATTTATCAAAACTCAGGAATTTTTTTATTTTAAATTTCCAGATCTCAAATGTAAGGATTTTTATATTTTTTTCCAGTCTTGATTAACTTCATATTTTTTACTAAAGTGCCTTAAAGGTGCTCAGGATGAAAACAGCTTCCATTAAAATGTTCAGCTGATGTTACCTTAGATGGGTTTCTGACTTTAGGTAGCTACAGCTACCTTGCAGACAGCTAAAAACGGGGTGGTGAGCCCCATTCCTGGTGTTGCCCCCAGCAAAAGCTGGTAAGTGAATGCTTGTATAATCAAGCTGAGGAGGACCCCTGCACATGCATTTGGGCATGGGCACGTGTGTGTTTGTGTGAGAGTGTGTGCAAGTGTGTGTGGTGTGTACCATAGGGTTGCTGTTTCCATCTTGCTGCAGCGCATCCACTCAGCTGCTATAACGCTGAACTTTTATACATATAAATCTATTTTAGGTTTCCTTCTTTACATTTTTACCTTAATTTTCATGGTAACTTTCTCACAGTAAGCCATGGATATCACTTCACATCACCATACCTGCATCTATTTCTGTGAAATGCGTTTCATCTGTTAAGGATGGATAATAAGTGAAATCTTAGATTTGATACTGGTCAGTGTTATTTTCATCAAGTTATATCATTACAGTATTGTACATGTATATTATTGTTATTTTTATTTAAAATATAGCTGTTGTATTGGCAACTTGTAACATACTTTTCATTTTTTCCTGGACTAATTCTTTGTTAAGTCCTGCTAAGTCAGATATTTAGGTTTTGCAAATAAAGACCATATATACTGCCCCTTTTTTAGATTCATATATAAATATTAGTACACTCTTTATCATTTTTTCAGTATTATTCACAGCAGTATTTTTATTGAAGCTTTCATTTCCTGTAATAAACATTTTCAAAACTCCTATTCTTATACAGTTTTAAGATTAAATCTCCTAATACTCCACCCAGGTGTTTTCTGAAATCCTCAGTACAGGTTTTTTCCTTCGTTCACTGAAATCAGTAAACATTTAACCATTCAATTCAGTTTGAGCAGAATTAGGGCCCAACATAGCTCTTTGAAAAACCTATCTGACACTTGCCACTTTGAACAAAAAAAGAGAAAGAGCTAAATACTTTTTTTTAAGGAGTTGATTAGAAAACATAGAAAAAGAGGGTGAAATCAGCTCGTGGGATAAGACATCCAGACATCCAGCCAGTGCTCTCTAAGCCTCAGGTGGGCTCACAGGTAGCAGAACAATTGCAGAGACACGGAGTTGGATGTGCTTGCCCAGAGCCGTGCCACAGAGTGAGAGTCATCTGTCCCAGTGGTCTGAAGAGTTCACACAGAATGGCTCAAGGCAGAAAAAACAAGAGACTACATCACAACTCTGTGTTTTGGCCTTCAGATAGCAGTTAGATTTTAATTCCCAGCTGTTCAGAATTCTGCCTAAACCGAACTGAAACACTGGTACTGCACCTCAGAGAATCAAACGCAAAAGTTGGTGGTTGTGGAGCATCTGCTGTGAGCTGTGACATTTCAGTGTCCCAAACAACTCTTAATCAAGACACAGCTGGCTTGGCAAGAGAATGTTGTATGTACTGAAATAATGTTTAAAGGATCTTAAAAAATTATTCTGTATAGCTGTGTAAAATAATTATATATTTCATTTTCCGTGATCACTTAAAATAGCAACTTCTGTAGATCAAACAGTGTAAACATTCTAAATTACCAATAAAATATTTGTAATTTTGATTCTTTACAAAAAGGTGTCTGACCTTTTTTCTCCTAGGGGGTCCCATTTAATTGCTAAACAGTGACAGTGATGTAAAAAGAAGTAAGCAATCCTAATCTAAATATCAAAGCTTTTGGCTGGGATGGTTTTATATAGCTGTTTGAAAATTGGAGAGAGTTCAGACTTGCATATGTGTTGCAAAATTGTCTGATGTTTATTGGAACAATCATGCCTATCTTTGCTCTGCTTGTTTTTGCTCAGAATGTCAGTCGCAATCTGTTCTCTACACACCCTTATATAGTCACAAATTCTCTCGTGTTTGAGACAACACAAATAAAAGGCAAGAAGCTTTTAGTTCGTTAATTTAGAAGTTTACGCACTCAGTGCTGGAATATGCCACATGAAAACCATCATCCCTTTGTATGCTTTGTGTATATCTTAATTTACCTTTCTTGAAAAAGTGGGAAACTGTATCAGACTGAATATGCTGTAACTGGTCAAATATATAACTTTATTTGCTCGTGGTAACTGTACATCCCAAAATGTGTTTGACGCTACTGCTGTTTTGTTGCAAATAGTTAAGTTTCCTTCTGTTTACTTGGTGGCCTGTTGCATCCATGAAGATTTGTCTTTTTTCATGGTCCCAGGACCTTTAGCATATAGTTTCAAGTTTCTTGTGCCTGGAACAGAAGCACCTGTGGAGATGAGATCCCTTGTAAGCAAATGTTCTGCTTAGTATCTCTCATGGCCTCTTCATTGCTTTTCCCTTTACCTTGTGCTGGGGTCCAAGGTCTTCACCAACCACTCATTATGAGGAAGCACTTTTTGCACTTTTTTTTTAAGATCCTACAGCCTTCTACAGGCTGTAGGCCATAACTGCAGCTTGTTGTCAGTTTTCTAGACATGCTAGAACTTTCCCAGCAATGTGCACGTACAGGTATCTTACATTCTTCAAACACTGCCTTACTGTGACCACTCTTGAGCAGGACAGATTTGGCACTCTGGTGTGGGTGGGGCAGGATGGCCCAGCTGGTAACCTGTGGCTGGGTCTGGTCCACAGAGTGATTCACATTTTATGGCACTGTCCTGTAGCCTGCTGCTCTGACCACCATGTTCTTGTACTCTGCTCAGGAAGGCAACAGAGTTCTCCAGGTACATGATGTGCTCCTGGGTTCAAGTTTCTAAACCAAGTTGCTGAACACTTCAGAAGACCAAGGCAGACAAAAAAGACTTTAAAATGCTGTCATTTAATAAAACCATGACATCTCTTTGGACTTGTCAGCCCTCCTATGTGCTGTCATTTAGCTGTGCAGGCAGTGAAAAGGCACCACACACCTCTCCCCTTTTCTTACTATCTGTAAGAAAAATCTACCATAATGAAAAGTAAAACCTTCAGAAATTACTTTTTACCTTAGTGTTCAGTATCCTAAACCTTCATGAAATCGTGACAATCCAAGGATGTCCTGATTGTGGGAGGTAGTCTCTGGAAGGAATTTTAAAGTACAATGTGGGAAGTAGCCAGACACATCAATATCTATATGATACCCATTAGTAGATATCTTCACCTTCAGTGTTGCTATAAAACTTTGCATCTTGTGTAGCCATGCTAGACGAGTGCTTTGGAAAAAAGTGGGAGTCAAATCCTAAAACCCAGTAAAACCTGAAAGGACACACTGATGAGGAATTAGGGTAACTAGACCTTCTTCAGAAATCCCTCCAGAAGTTGCTTATACTATTTTTGCTCTTGGGTGAGTGGGATGAGGGCAAGCATTTGTTGCCCTTTTGCCTTTTCATGATCTTCATTTCCCAAAGTTTGTGTAACTCATACACCAGATTGCCCTGAAGAAACACATCAATGGTGAAACCAAGGGAGTCAAGAAATGGCTCTCATTTGAAGCTATCGGGGAAAAGAATAATGACAAATCCCCAGAAAGCTCACATTTTTCCCACATAAATGGGGAACATGCAGCAGGAGAGAAACATGTCAAGTTAGCAAAACCAAAACTGGTGGATTTGGTAAGTTTTAGTTGGAGCTGCGAGTAAAATGGCAAAGCAATTC